AACAACGATAACCTCCTTTGATCCACACTGTATAGTTCTGTAAGAACAATAACCTCTATTGATATCCTCTACAGCAATTCTCACTATCTAAATTATGTAACAACGATAATTTCCAGCGATATTTATTATTCACTTTATGTAACAGGGGTAGCCAGTATAGTGAGCACCATTACATATGCTGTTTAACAACTTCCAGTTATCCTAACATTTAAGTTTCAAGCATTAGAAGCTATCGGTAAGCACTACAAATAGTTAGTTACTCTTTATAAGGAGGATTTTCACAATACAGTGATATATCGCCACGGATGTTAGTTGTGGAACCACGGGAAACATGTTTAGCACATATATTTGGCTCACAGCAAATTAACGACCATTCGACAGTGCAATGTTCATCTGCAAATAGGACGTTATGGTTACAAAAGAGAACCTACTGACTCAAAAATAAAGAAGAAAATTCTTGAAATCAATGGTTGTTTTCATAAGAAAGATGATACAATAGAGTGGAATCAAAGTAATTTCATTCGAGTCAAATCCGCAAGCCCGGCATGACCAGGTGGTTAGGGCGCTTGACTCGCAATCTGCGAGTCGCAGGTTCGAATCCCCGTCCCACCAAACATGCTCGCCCTTTCAGCCGTGGGGGCGTTATAATGTGACGGCCAATCCCACTATTCGTGGGTAAAAGAGTAGCCCAAGAGTTGGCAGTAGCTGGTGATGACTAGCTGCTTTCCCTCTAGTCTTACACTGCTAAATTAGGGACGGCTAGCGCAGATAGTTCTCGTGTAGCTTTGCGCGAAATTCAAAACAAACAAACAAATCCGCAAATGCGGGTTCAAATGGACACTTGTACCTTTGGTTTCCTAAGATGTGGTCGAGGACGCCGTTTTTAACATACAGTGAAGGACTTGTGGAAAGTTTGTCAAAATGTGTGGGCTAAGACTGACTCCATCGTCCTTATAACGATGGAAAACACGGTGTTGGGCAAAAGTGTATAATCATGGTCATCAGACCAAAGACAGCACCTTCCCTCAAACATCGTTTTAATAAAATGCAAATAACTATCAGTAGTGCCGATGTAACACAACAGAAACTTGCAGTAATCGTCTTTACATACATACTTACAATAGTAATGGTATGGTTACCCTAAACGTTTTGTTTCTTTAATTCATTTTTGCTTTGAAACAAACGTACTTTCACATTTTGGTACTCTAAATGCCAGACTTAGTGAATTTTGTGCTTAAAAAGGAATCGGGAAAAATTTGGCGTTTGGTTTTACAATATCAGAACATGTATTCGTATTATATATCAACAACATAATACCCAAACTAACTCCAACAAGTCATTTAACGATGAAGAAATAAGTGGTCGGAAACACATAAAACTTAGGGCAGTAAACTTTTCTTACTACTAGTAGTAGGCAAGTCCACAGATTTCGGTAAACTGAGGTTAACTAAGAGAAACAGCAACCACAAATTTCTGATTTAGGTACAAGAAGGCAAAGTTGTAGAAACTCCAAAGATCGAAGTGTGGATGATAAATGACGATCTCCAAATCTTCTACTCGTATTTCTAGTTTTGTAGAACAGGACCAGTTTTTGTTTGTGTGTGTGTGGTGTTATTCTTCTTCAAATACGGAGCATTTAAGAATAAAATTGTGTAACTGAAATTCATCACGGCTTACATATTGATTTGTATTAGGTATTAATTGGCTTTGAACTCTTAAGAGCTCCACAAATTATAGGGGAGCATGAATATTACCTTCGAGTGTTATCGATACATTTGAAACATCATCGTATAAGACTAGTAAACCGTGTTTAAGAGTTAACTGTCATGAGACGGAAGAGTTTTTCTCTCACACGTACTGACATTGTTTTATCTCCAATTCTTTTTTTAGTATTTCTATCTTCTTCGGTTAAGTATATCCACACTTTCTGCTGTTATCACGAATATGAAGAAAATAGTTCTTATTTTTATGCTTGCAAAGATACTTAACAAAGAACACATGATTATCCATCAGTTATTTTATCTGTCGAAAAACCTTTCTCAACAAAGGCACCGATTAACTCTTTAGCTAGAAATAGAAGTTTAAATCATGAAAATAGCAGAAACTGGAGAATAAATACGCTTTCTTGTGCCTTACATCGTGAAAGTACACATTTAAAAGATCTTAAGAACATTACATTGACGTTTGTTTCGTACTTACCATACGTGTTCTTGAAGCCTTACGAATCAAAGAACTTTGCGCGAGATATTAAAACTGTCAGAGAAGCGAAACCGTCTTAGTCAATCAGTCAAACAGTGCAGTAACCTTTCATTCAATCGAGTGACCGTTCGATCTAACCCTAACCATTATCTTTGAATACAGGCTTTCCCTTTCTCAGAGTAAATAGGGTAGTTCAAGCGGAAAAAGACATCGCCACGTGGTGTCGTTCAGTTCAAACAGAAACAGACATCATCATGCGGTATTCCTGGCCTCTTCACGATAGGGCATGTTAATTTTGTTGTATTTTTAGGAACACAGAGCGAGAAATTTCAACTGGAAGTAGATCATTTCTAGTTGGCAACTTTCCCGCAAAAGAAATATTAAAAAAAAGAGACTAGAGTTGCAGGTGCTTTAAGCTTACATATAACCTTATTAGCGCCCTCATGCGGGAATAAATCATCGTTTCTGGTAAATGTATTCTGTATACAGTCATAAAAACGAAACGAAATATATTAATCTACATATAAAATAAGTAATAAAAAAATCTGAAAAACACATAGAGGTAAAATTGCTTTTATAGATGAAGTGCAGAAACCATTGTTTGTATATTTCCAAGCAATTAAACAAAACATCGAACATACGAAGACAGATGCTCACTATTATTTTACTGCCCTGCACTCCTCTCTATTCACCACACAAGGTTTTACACTTGACAACAAAAGTAGAAGTTGGATACCATTACTATCGCGCACTGAATTAAAAAATAATAATGTAAATCTAGCATACATAAATATATTTAGACACAGAAACATATCCATAAACTAACTTACAGTATTTATAACATTTAAAGTATAAAATGCAAATTTCTCATAAAAACTGTAATACTTCTAAAGGTAGCAAATAGTTTATCCCGATCACTTTAACAATAAAACAACCAGTTTAGACATATATAATCATGACACCCACAACTTAGAAAGATGACTTAAGAATAAAGTACATTTTTACTCAACTCAAATAATTCACTGATACAAGGCGAAATATATTCTACCTCTACTCATGCCATGTGAAACTTTACCCATGATACATATGTGACGTTCAACTAATGTATCATTGGTTTTCATGGTCACTTGTCTTTGTTTGGGAGGATTATATAAAAGTTTCGTAGCCGATTTTCATGGTCGCTCATAGTCGGTTTTCATGATTGCTTGTCTTTGTTTGGGAGGATTATATAAAAGTTTCGTAGCCGATTTTCATGGTCGCTCATAGTCGGTTTTCATGAT